AGTTGTTCAAGTAGGCAAAGTCTAAAACTAGGAAAGCTAAAACTAGGATTGTTATAGGCGAAACTAATCAATCAACAGAAAAACATCAAAAATCCACTGCAGATATCTGGGATTTCGTTATGAGGTACAAGTGGGTTTGGTATGTTGTAGCATAGGAGGATTTTGGTAGGTGGAGAGTTCGGGATGTGAAAACTTTTCAATGCCATTTGACTGCTCTAAGGAGCACAAGCTGATCTCAGGGAACACAGCTACCAGGCGTTCTCACCGTTTCCAGCAAGTGGGAGGAAAATATTAATCCCCTTCGCTTTTTTCTCTGAATTGAATCTTGTGGTCTGCTTCTCCTTTCACTTCGAATTTATTTCCTTGTAAAAGTATAGCTGGCCAAGCAGTTAACCTTTTGTAGGCAAAGGGGGGCAGACTCTTCAGTTGCTGCTCTGTTCCTTTAGCACCAAACACTAAGCTGCTCCCTCTCTGCACAATCCCTTTTCCTGCCTGCCTGTCCAAGAAATGAACAATCCTGACGTACTGGAAAACACCATGGGTACAGACAGGTGTTTTTTCTACTGTTTTCAGTTTGTAGGAAATGGATAAAATGCCTCAGAGCATCATGCGAAGTGTCTTCAGGCAGCACCTATATTTCTGATCCGGCGTGAGTGTGTAGGAGGTGATGCTGTGCTTGCAAGCAGGCTATTTTGCTTGCACAGGGCTGCTTTGAGAGATGCAATTCTTTTCAAGGAAGATTTTGGTTCTGGTGTTTTTCTGCAGTAAGTTAGCCACTTCCTGTATTTGGCTGTTCATGGTGTTGCTTCAGCTTTAGTACTGCACACAGCAGCCAGTGACAGGGACTATTTTAAGGCCTCTTACAATGGTCTTCTCATTTACTTAGCTAAAATGAGAAAGTTAGCCCTGCATTGGCCACTTGTTAGCTGATGACAACTTTTACTTTGAATCTGGCTCCCCCTCCCCCACCTGAAATCCCTGGCTCAGCAAATATTTGAACCTGCCCAAGTTAATCATGAAACTGAGATCTTTATCTGAGAGAGGCGTGCAAGCTACCGAGGGTGGCGGTTTCTTTCTTTTTTTTTTTAACAGTACTAAAGTCAGGTTCACTTTTTAATGATGAACTAGAGTAAGTGGATACCTTCTGCACAGCACAGAGCTTTAAGCAGTTAAGAAGAGAGAAAAGGCTTGGATTTTCTCACTGCATGTTACAGCTTTTTAGGGATTTTTTATGGAACATTGGTTGCAAAGCAGAGCAATCTCCGTTTTTGGTGTTTGTTTTTTTTTTTTCTTTGTAGCTTCAGAGAAGCTTCCTAGTAAAAGGAGTTTTGGGGGGAATTTTTGAGCAAGATTTTTGTATGAGGAAATCAACAAATTTTTTAGGTTACTGGATTGCATTTTCAGGCTGTATTACAAGGGTGAGCATTTACGATGCATAATTTACAAAGTAAGTGATTTTGAATTTCTGTATGTGTTTTCTTCGTCACCTTGTGGAAGTATTTTAATATAACTGATTACCACGTAGAGCTTTCATGGTCTTAAGATACGTGAATGGAAGTCAATTACCTCAGTACCTCTCCAGGTTATACAGGGAATGGGGGAATCGCCTGTCTGCCTCCTGTCTTTTCTTGCCTGCAAGCTAGGCTAATCTGAGCTGAGCACTAACCTGGTTGTACAATTGTGGGCAGTCCAGAATTTGGCCACCAGTGAAACCCTGGAGAAGTAATTTTTGTTGGAAGACTTTATTAAATAGTGTAAAAAATCTTACTGATCCCACATGAGACCTAAGTGCAGCAATGTAGTCTTTGTAGGAAATCTTTATAACCTAACTTAAATAATTACTTTGGCAACTCAACTGCTTGGGTAGCAGGTGGGCTAAACCTCCAAGTTCAGTGTTTGGACTTGTGTCTGGGATGATTTTACGTATCCTATTTCGTTTTGGAAATGGAAGGAATCTTTGGAGCATGTCTACCTAAACAGGGAGGGGAGAGTCTACTTCAGAATAAATTTAAGCTTGCTAATAAGGTATAAAGCAAACTAGCATGCATTTTTTTGTTGCTGTTGGTACTGCGGACATTCTTGTATGTTAATGCTTGTCTAAAAGGGGCAAGCTGCTGAGGGGCACAGAGAGGGGTTAGATAAGTGTGAAATATTTGGGAAGGATATAAATTGCATTCATTTTTTTAATGAGTATTTGTGAGATAGAGCACATTTCAGCCGCAGTTGGATTTCTTGTGATATAGGCACAGATAGTTGCTACAGCTACTCTTTGTTGTGGTTATTTTTCGTATCTGGTTTTCTGCCCCCATAGATTATAGTGAGTATAATGCATTCGCATTGCTTTACATAGCATTCTGCTCTGGAATTAATAGTCTATTCTGTGCATGTTTCTTTCAAGAGGTCTGAGAGAGTTACAGTCAGTGATGGGGGGGAATTAAGAAGGAATATTTCTAAATGGTAGGAGGATACTGATGACATAAAGCCAAATGAGGAAGGAGACACTGACAAGGGACTCTTGCTTTTAAGAACAGTTGACTTGATAGATATCTCGGTGAGAACAGGGTAGAGAAACAGTGTGAAAAGGCAGTCTAAATCTTGTTGTATCCTGACAGACTGGATTTTTATGTTCAGCAAAATCACGTTTCAAGATCTTGCTCGGTTTTAACTTTCTTCCATGGTTTAGGCAAGTCTGCTGAATGTAAGATTACAGTACTTGGCTTTTGGATTTCAAAATGAGTTAATCTAGATCAATAGGAATTGGATTTTATTACATAATGATAAAGGGGGGAAGATATCTCTGCAGTAAGCACTTATTTATATAAAAATACTATCAAGTATATCAGACCTGTGTGTGCATGAAGAGAAATCAGCACAGTTCAAAAACATAATCCATATTTCATTATGTGGGGATATATATGCCTCTGTGTGTGCATATGTGCAAAAAGGGTATGTAATGGATACACACACAGAGTCACACTCTTTTCCCTTCTGCATCTGTAATATGTGCAGTAGGTCCAGAAGCCTTTTACACCTTTTTGCACGGTAAACTTCAGGCATCCAAGCAGGAGAATGCGGCTGACATTCTACCGACCTACTTCTAAAGGGAGCTGCCCTGTGTGTGTGTGTGCATGTGTTGTGTGCGCCTGTGTGTAAGAGCTACGTGCTGCAGCATATCAGCCTTTTGTCATCCTGCCAGGATTGGACTGTACCATGCTGCAAAGACAGGAAAATGAGCTGGGAAGGCAGGCGAGAAGAGCCCACTCACTCCTTTTGTTTGTAATACCAGGTTTATATTGCAGTTCTGCTAAATGTAGATTCTTTCTGAAACTGAAATTGTTTTAAGATTAATGTAGAACAAAATGATGAAACAGGAGTGGTCTGGTGACATTATTTTGACATGATTGGCTGAGGATTATGATGTAATAGGTTACAGTGCAGCCCCTTATAGGTTTTAAAATGAATTCCAAGACACCATTACAAAGAGAGCCTGACTCTTTTCTTGTATCTGAGCTTACTCAGTGAAACTCATACAAATGTACAATACTGTTTGGAATATGGAAGAACTGGATATGGAATATCCTAAGACAGATATAAATTGTGGCACAGACTTGATGTTTTACATAGAAATGGATCCACCAGGTAAAACTGCAGTCTTATTATGGAGGACTTAATTCATTTTGTTTTTTACAATAGCTGCTGAAAAATTCTTACTGGATATGTAGGATTTCTTTACTTTGGCATTGATACAAATAGGTTTTCCTTTTTTTGATAAATTAGAATTAAATTGTCGTTTAGTGCATGGTTATAGTAATCAGAATCATAACTTGTAGAAATACCTGTCTGCTTACTTAACTGAGTTTTTACTGAACTGACCTGTTTCTGTTTCTGTCAGATGTAGTTCTAGTTCTGCTATTATATCGTAAAAAAAAAATGTATTCCTTTTATTATTTTTTGTACTGTCTCTATTCCATGCTTTGACTAAAAAGAGATGCTGTAATAACACTTTTATTTCCTGAAACGATGATTACAAATCATTGTTTTGGATCGTTTGATGAAAAATAGATTTTAAAATCTAGCAATATTAACTGGATACCCGATATTGCATCATTATTTCGTATTGTATGAAAATACTGTGCTATCTTGATATTCATTGCAACTTTAGAAACATTATCTTTTGTAGCCGGTCATAATACACAGGGCAGGGATGCTGATAAGGAATGATGTACTTAGTGGAGAACTGAAAGAGCTGGGTTGATTTTTAATCCTGATTCCAAGGTAGTCCCCCTTGCTAGTAAGTCAGGAGTGCTGCAGTATCTTCTCTGGCACCCACTGGTATACGTATGCAGCTTTGACATTGTGAAAAGGGGGATGTGGTTTTTAATCAGTCCTGGCATTTGGAACGCAATTTATTCTGTAGAATACTCAGATTAACACAAGGGATATTTGGGTCACAGATGGGTTACTTGAAGTGTTTTTTTGGCAAATCATCACACGGAATGCTGAGGATCGCCAAAAAACATTTCTTCTTCTTAAAATATACAGTATTGCTGTGGGTTTGCATCTTTTATTACTCAGATTCTAGGTGAGGAAGCAGCAACAGACCTCTAAGATCATTACATGGGGGAAAAAAGAAATCTTATATGTTTCATTATGTATATTTACCTGGAGATAGTGGAAGAAGGTAAAAGCAAACTTCAGAATATTTTTTTCTCATATGCTTTCTTCACAGGGGGAGGAGATGAGTATGATATTATATTTGGCTTAAAATATTTTATTGCAAGACTAACATACTTTTTTGAAACAGTACATCTGGTTGAACTGTAGTGTTTTCAGTAAAATACCTAAATTCCTCTAATGTCTTCTAAAGACTGTTAGTGATGGAAAACTGTTTTGTAACTATGCTTTTTTTTCTCATTCATGTAATAATCTGTGATCTCAAGAAATATTTTGTCAGGTTTTCAGTGAGTTATAATCAACTTTTTTTTTTCCCATTTCTGCAGCACTGCCTCCTAAGCCACCAAAACCTAGTAGTGTAACTAACAACGGCATGAATAACAACATGTCATTACAAGATGCTGAATGGTACTGGGGAGATATCTCGAGGTAAGTCAGCTCAAGACATGTATTTCTCATGTTTGGCTTTATGTTCTTGCTATGCTATTCTGTGTGTATGTATTATGCTTAAGTATAGAAAAATTACAGTTCTAAGAGCCATTTTTAGGATATTTTCCAACACAAACATATTATAGTTGATTCTATTCCAAACATGACTAAAAAGTTACTGGCAGTCAGTTAGAAGGTAGTATGGAAAATGATTGTTCTATTGCTTTGAGACAGCTATATGAAATGCTAGCATGAGAAGACAACACCAAGAAATAAGTGTTTTCTGCTTGTCTTTCATGCAGAACCTCAGCTGTAGGCACAATAGTTAACAAGCCAGACTAACAAGTGCCATGTATTAGCAACATTTTTAACTGTACTATATATAGGTACATAAGACTGGCACTGGCTGCTCCCAATTGTGCAGGCTTGTATGAACAAGCAGAAGGACCTTTGCATTAATATAATTTAACGCCAGCAGTGAAAGGACATAGGACATACCATTTTTATATCACAGTTGTTCTCCAGCAATGTTAAATAAGCTATTGAATAACTGTATTTATTATTATGGTGATCAAGAAGGCTTATAAAAACCACTTATTTTAAAACACAAGAATTTAGAGCACAGTGAGAGGATAAATGAGTGAGAAGTAGCTGAAGTGATTGGTTACTTTTGCTTTCACTTTAGAGAAGAAGTAAATGAGAAGCTTCGAGACACTGCTGATGGTACATTTTTGGTACGAGATGCTTCAACCAAAATGCATGGGGACTACACACTTACGCTACGGTAAGATTAGTTACACTAGGTGTGTAATACTTGACAGTAAAATGCAATACTGCAGTTAAAATACAGTGTTCTTTAGGAAATAGTACTTAAAGTATGCCTAACTTTTCAACAAATTTGATTTGCAGGAAAGGAGGAAATAACAAATTGATCAAAATATTTCATCGAGATGGAAAATACGGCTTTTCTGACCCGTTAACTTTCAACTCTGTGGTCGAGCTAATAAACCACTACCGGAATGAGTCTCTAGCCCAATATAATCCTAAACTGGATGTAAAATTACTGTATCCGGTATCTAAGTACCAGCAGGTAATTTGGTCTCTTTTCTTTGTGTTTCACTTGAATACAGAGAAGTTGGTGCAGAGCGGGGAGTCATTTATCATGAAGAGCTTCAGCTCTGTTAATATTTGAAAAAACAAAGTGGGTATAAAAATGGATGTTTTTGTTTAAAATCAGCTATGAAAACTTTAAATACTGCAGATAAATTATTAAGAAATAAGCTTATGTTAATAAATATCCCACTCATTAATGATGAAATATATCATTTTCGGTCTACAGCTGAACACTAGCAATGCAAAATTGCTTTTTGTCATTAATTTCTCATTTGCATATTATGCATATAGTGTGTTATAAGTCCATATTGATGAAAGAGGAGTCATATTTACCATGTAACTGTCTAGGCATTTTTAAGCAGTTTTATCCTGAAAATCGGTGCGATATAGTTTGTCTCTTTATGGAGTATCTTTCCTTCTGCTCATCATTCCAGGATCAAGTTGTAAAAGAGGATAGCATTGAAGCAGTGGGAAAGAAATTACATGAATATAATACCCAGTTCCAAGAGAAAAGCCGAGAATATGACAGACTTTATGAAGACTACACGAGAACATCTCAGGTGAGCTAGATTTGAAACAAGAGAGAGTGGAAGACTTCTGTAGATTTAGCAGAAGATTACTATAAATTCATACTGCCATCTTCTTCTGTCCTTCTCCCCCTCCCTTCCGCCACCACTACCATTGCCCAAAAGAGGAAACATGTCTGAGCTGCTTGCTGAGTGTAGTAGAGTAGCTTACTCGTGTTTTAACAGTCACCACCTGTAACCTAACCCTCCCTGTGCCCAAGTCTGACACCTACATCCAAAGCAAACACAGAACTGTCTTGATTTACCAACACGTCTGCATACTGACCTCGTCAAGCTGAGTTACAGTTTTCAAGATATATTTGCACGGAAGCATTGTATTTTATTGTTAGTTTTTGAAAAGTCTGGTTTCATCTATGCAAGGCAAAGAGATGGTGTATGTAGATACAGGGCAGGAATGAAAAGCTGCCCCTATCTTTCTTTCATTTGAATCAATTATTAGCCAAGTCTTGAAGTGGCAGTGAGTTAGTACTTTTTTACAGACCTGGACTTGAGACTGCTTCTTAAATTGTGCAGGAAATACACCTGAAAGTAGTTGAAGAAAGGTGCAGAAGTGCAGGAAACTTGAACTACTGATTTAAAAGAGTTTGCTATCAACTAGATATGCAGGGGTAGGAGGATGGACTAGGTGACCTCTTGAGACCTGTCCAGGCCAATGTCTTACACTTTTATTTCAGAAAGTCCCTAAGGACATTAGTTGATACAAAGGGCAAAATGCATTGCCATAAGACTCTAATCATCACAAATAAAATTTATTTGTACAGAACAAAGATTGTAGCTGGCTCTTTGTCTAACAGTTTTTCTTTGTTGGAAAACTTCATCATGGAAAGCCTCATCATGTTAGCCTTTTGCACAGGCCTGTTCTCTCTGTGTTTTAAGGCTCTGCAGACAGAGTGTGTTCTGGTAAAGGGGTACTGAAGTCTTCTGTTACAATATACTGAAGTGTTTCTGTGATAAAAGCCAATGAATCATCCCCTATGTCTGATAACAACTGTAATAACAATTGTTTTATTTTCAGGAAATTCAAATGAAAAGAACAGCTATTGAAGCATTTAACGAAACAATAAAAATATTTGAAGAGCAGTGTCAGACACAAGAAAGATACAGTAAAGAATACATTGAAAAATTTAAACGGGAAGGAAATGAAAAAGAAATACAAAGGTCAGTATTTTATTTGCATTTCAAATTGTATGATTTTGAAGAAAGAAACAATGCGAAGTATAGATCTGCTTAAAACTAAAGCAAGATGGCAAGTTCAAAGTTGTTCAGTTGTAAGCAAAGCAACCCTCAAATGGCATAGATGTGAACTCGCAAAATATATAGCTACGTCTGGAGAAACAAATCTGTTCTCTTGAGGGTCTGCATTGCTAAGTAGCAGATTATAAAGTTATGAATAAGACATCATCAGACTGTAACCTACCATATTATTCCATTCAGAATTATGCACAACTATGAAAAACTGAAGTCTCGAATAAGTGAAATTGTGGACAGCAGGCGTAGATTAGAAGAGGATTTAAAGAAGCAAGCAGCTGAATACAGAGAGATAGACAAGCGTATGAACAGCATTAAGCCAGACCTCATACAGCTGAGGAAGACAAGAGATCAGTACTTGATGTAAGTATCATTATGAATTAACAAAACTTCTTTTTTTTAGAGGTTTTTTTTAATTGGTATCCAACTTCTGTGACTAACAATTAATTTTATTTGCAATTATCGTCCAGGTGGCTGACTCAAAAAGGTGTTCGGCAAAAGAAGCTAAATGAATGGCTTGGAAATGAAAATACAGAAGAGTGAGTATTAAAAGATTTAAACATTGCTGGTGTTTCAAATCATCTTACGCATAAGTGAGAAAAAGCATATTTAATTCCTGAACCACACAGAGGAAATCTAAATCATACGTCTCCAGTAACAATGCACACTGTTAGCACATGGCAGCCTTCACCATACAAGTATTACAAAGGACTCTGTCTCTCACCCCCTACTCTCCATTATTCAGGGAAGTGTATAATCAAGTTACTATAGCAAAGCACTGGAATTTAACCTGTGTCTTTATTCTTACCAGCAAAATAAAGATCATAAGGTGGTAGTATCTTACAGAGGTGCCATATGGGTGGATAAGTTGTTCAGAATGTCTCCTAGGCATGGGCAAGCCTTTTCCTAATTTCAGGTGTTGGTACTATGGTGCTATCTAGCGTAGTGGTACCCACATCAGTATATCACATTGCTACTGAAGATGACAAAATTGTATATACTGAGGAGTGGTCCTTCTGTGGTTTTGTGGTCTGATTAATTTTTCTGGGAAATGGCAGGATGGTGTTCTCTCATTTCGGCAATTCAGTTTACTATAGATTCTGACAGGGGCTTGGCTAATGGGTATATTTCACTTCATTCCTGGGAAAAAAGCAAAAGGCACCTGGGTGGTGTGAATGTAGACCCAATTTAAACAAAAGCAAGCCACAAAATAATATCAAAAGTGTAGTAAGAATGAACAATGAACAAACAGAAAAACCAAGTTGTCTGAATAATAGTAATATCAAACATTTTCTGCCTGTGTAGTTTCCTGTGCATGACCTTTACACTGCCTGGCTGAACGTATAGCAAAAGCAGCAGTGGCTGTTTTGTGGATTTACATTCTAGCTTTGTCCACATCTGTTTTAATTTGGCTTGGTTTATTGAGTCTCCCACTGTTATCCTGGAAATCATCTCTGCTGTGGCTGCGCTGGTAGAAGCAGGGGATAATAATGGCATACTCATTTTAAAGCCATGTCGTTCACCCAGTCTTAGCACAGGTCAAAGATGATACGGTGGAGAATATGTAGGGACCCAGTTCCAGTAGTACTCCCATCACTTAAATGGTGAACAAAGAACAATGGCAGGCCATGGTTTTAGTGTAGCATCAAAATAGTAAGTGAAACTGTTTAAAGAAAATCTTCCTTTTCTGTCACTCTGTGATTCTCCTTGCCAGTGAGTCTGGTAAGTGCTCAGGTTTCTGCTGAAAGAGTAAACTTTCAGAATATGACTTTAGAATAAAAGCTGCAATGCAGGAAAGGTCAGTGTAATGAGCAGCAGGAAAAGTAGGAATCGCTTTCTCTAGGTGCTGGTTGAAAATAGAGCCACTGCTGAACGTATTTGAAAATCGTGGAGGATAAAGGAGTGCAATAGTATAAGGGACCTAGAGAGAGTGTCACCTGAAGCAAAAGAACCCTACTTCTTTCTGAAAAATTGTGTTATGTGTGAGATTACTGATTTCTGTAGACTACTTTGAGAATCTTCAGGAAGACAGAACTGTGGATGAATGAGAAGTCATGTTTTCTTAGACCAGGGAAAACTGATTAAAAACCTATTACAGAGAGATTAAATACATTAGCCAAACAGACTGATTGCCAGGTGAGCAGGAGAGGCAGGGCCCACCAGTGCAGGTGGCTGGGGGAGTGAGGAGCTCTGGAACTCCAAAATATGACAGTGGTGCCCACACAGCTGCATCAGAGACATCTTCTTTCATGGTGGGCTTTAGCTCAGAGAGTTCCCTATAACTCTGAATCAGCTTTATAGTTGGTGGCTGGTTTGGTAGAGAAGGCTCTGTATTACATGCTCTACTCATAATCTGGTTATAAAGAGAGAGCACGGTACTGTTGCACCCTTTCCACAAAACCATCTCACATGTAAGTAATTAATCTACCTACCTGTACAACAGCTTATTGCTTTCCCAAGCAGCAGCTGTAGTTGATACATTACGTGATTTTTCACTGATGACCAAGTGTTCTCATCGTTGGAAATGAAGCTGACTCATAGGGTGTTGATTTTGTGGGCTTGCTGTTTACCAAAACAGTGAGCAACAGTAGAAGTAATGAACTGCTCACAGCAGATTCTGAAAGATAGCACAGCATCCTTTTATATCCTTCTTCGGATTTACATGAGTGTTTTAAAATTACAAACTTACATTTTGTTTTTATTCAGTGGTTTAAACAGTGCAGTATTACATGGTTTACATCCCTAGTTTTACCAGGCAGGCACCCCACTAACCACTGACTTATATTTTCTCAATTAATATGAAATGGGGTCTACTTAATTCATGGATTTTGCTCTCCTACATGTTTCACAAACACATTTTGTCCTATTTCAATAGCCAATACTCTATGGTAGAAGATGATGAGGACTTGCCCCATCATGATGAGAGAACGTGGAATGTGGGAAATATCAATAGGAGCCAAGCTGAAAACCTGCTGCGGGGAAAACGAGATGGAACATTCCTTGTTCGAGAGAGCAGCAAACAAGGCTGCTATGCCTGCTCTGTTGTGTATGTACCCTAATTTGTAAATAATGTAACCCACATTTGAGGCACCTCCCTTGAGCCAGGGGCAGATAGTCACTTGCATATGCATAGATCCCATTGGACCTTTGGTCTTAGAAGCAGACCAGCAAGTCCTGAGGCCATCCTTATTGCTGCTCCATTTCCTACACAGCTCAGACCTGTGCCGCTCCCATAGATGAGCCTCGCACAGAGGAAGGAAAGCCAAAGCATGGATGCACTCTTTTATGTGCAGCTGCTAAGTCCCACTTATCTCCTCCCTCCCTAAGCTAACAAAACATCTGGGAATTTGAGTTAAACCTAGGCTTTTACCATTATCCCACCACAGAGGACAGGAATTATGTGTAGTAACTAGCATCTGAAGATTTGTTGCCAATACCTTGTTTTCTAGCTTGACTTTACTGTACTGACAAACTAAAAACTGTCTGCATTTTTTCCTCTTTAGGGTGGATGGAGAAGTAAAGCACTGTGTGATAAACAAAACACCTACTGGATATGGATTTGCAGAGCCATATAACTTGTACAACTCACTCAAAGAACTGGTGCTACATTATCAACACACGTCACTCGTGCAGCACAATGACTCTCTTAATGTCACACTAGCCTACCCAGTATATGCACAGCAGAGGCGATGAAGATCTTCATACTCTGGGTTGTTTGTTTTTTTCCTAAAGAAAAGATCTGACAACATTGAGGCCTCTGGAGAGAGAAGGCTCCTTTCAGCCTTACTCAAAAATTTGAGCTGCAGTATCAAAGCTATCTGTCTTCAAATGGGACTAGAGCTTTCCTTCACAACTGCGGTGGGAGAGATCACAGTATTAAGCTGTGAACATATGTTTCTAATCTGAAGTGCTTTTTTTTTTTAATCAAGAAAAGAAAAACACAAGAGAAATCCTAACCTGATCTCCCTGCAGGGACATAGAGGCCTTTAACCATGGTGCTTGTTTACGACCACTTCTGAAGCTTTACCAGCTAGAACATTGGATTCTCCAGACTCAAGGTGTAAGAGGTCTTTGTCATTCGGTTATTGGAATTTTGTGGTCACGACCTGGCTTGGATTTGGTGTTTCTGCACTCAGTGGATTCAGACATACAGCATTGTGGATTTTTTGGTTTCTAGTGAATGATATGTAGCAGAATGGCACTTTCATTTCTGAGGAACACTTTAAAAGGACTTCAGTGACAGGATGTTGTTCAGCGTAATTGTAATAGCAAAGTGCCAGGAAGTGTTTTGTTTAGACATTTAAAAATCCTGTTTTAAGAATATATTTAAGACTGAAGAAAACAGGACTTTCAATGGCATACAGTATATAATAATGTACATAGTACTGGATGACTAACTATCATTGATGGAAATTATCAATACCAAACTGCTTCTCTTTTCCCTTTTCTGTTTGCTGAAAGCCAGATTCTTAGACTGTGCTATGCAATACTGTATTTTCTTTAGGCTGTAGTCTTCTCTCAAGCGTATCTGCAGGTTAAGCTTGTTTTTCTTTCTTGTTTCCTTGTCTTCTTTTTTCTTTCTTTCTTTTGCCTGAGAATATTTTTGCTGATGATTATTTTTTGTTATTCATTTTGTTGTTTTTGTTTTTTTTTTTTTAATGTACAGGAAGCCAGCAAGAGTTGGCTTCATAATTAAAACTATGAAATATTTTACATTTTTCTTTGTATAGAATATTGAGCTACTAGCTCAAAGTTTTAAAAGTTCGTAAATTTTTTTGACTAAATATTTTTTTGGGCAGTGCCTGATAAGCTTCAAAGCTGCTTTATTCAATAAAAAATGTATGAACATTACAAAATATCACTGAGTCCAACAATATTGTTTCAGAGATATCTTTAGAATACGGTACTACGCTATGTTTGCTTCTTGAAGCATTTTGAACTTCTATCATGATCGTCTTTGTATTTGGAAGACGAAAAATTGTGTATCGTTCTCTGATAGTGATAGCAGAAAAAATAGGAGATTTGGCTATGGGGATAGATAGTTTGGATTTCAGAATGAATCCACACTTTATAGTGAATATATTACTTCTTGACTTACTGTGGCAGAATTTTTGTCAGCATGTAAAGGTATTTTCATTTCATATGAAGGAAGTTTCTCTAATTTGTTGCCTAGGTTTGTTTTTTGTATTAGTATTGTGAAAAAAAGCTCCCACCTTTACTGAGAACGTTTGGACACAACATAGAGCTAATTAAGACTGGGAAATGCCTTGTTTTGAAAATTATTAGGCTATTACATTTAACATTTTAGATTTTTTTTCATAAGTTTGTAGGCTGAGGCAGTATCAAAGTGAAGAATTCTATGATTTCAGGCACCAAAGACTTACAGAATTTTGGTTTAGTTAAAGGAAACAAATACATGAATCCCGCTAGACTAAACTTACTTGGAATTCTGGGACAAGTCACTGTGGGTGGTTTGCAATGGTTATTTATTGTCCTGACCACTTACAAAATTCACACATTTCAAATAATTGATAGAGTAATGAAGTTCAGAGAAATCTTGGAAAAGTTTTAACTAAGTGAACATAAGAATTTTTTCTTCCCCCACGATGCAAAGGCAAGACCATTAATATTAAAGGGAGTTGCACACAGTCAAAAGACTAAGACCCATGAAGTTCTCTCATAATAGCTCTGTTTTAGAGATAGATGTGTTTCAATTCAAAGTATGCAGTGCTTCTTAAGCTATTGGAAATAATAAGAAGAAATTTGCCAGTCACCAGTAGTTTTTATATATTATCTTTTAATTTTTACATTATTCCTTCATTTCTGAGACTGTAAGGCTTTTGATTTTGTTTTGATTTTGTGCTCTTTTTTTTTGGTGGGTTTTCTTTGCTTTCCTACAGATGTATTTTCTTAGCAGAATTTGTATCAGGAAACAAGATTCAACCAGGATAGTCACCACTTACAAGATTATTCTGAATGTTTTTTCTGAATAGAATTTTAGTCTTCATCCCTTCCCTTCCTCATTCCACACTCTTTTTGGGCCTGTAGGACCATGTAAATTTGGTTTACTAAGAAGTGTTTTTTACTATGAAAAGCACCAACAATTACTCTAGCATGCCAGTTATACTACTGGGCTTGAAGTTACAAATTAGTTCAATATACAACAATTTAACACTTGTAGCAATCCAAGATATTCTTTGGACATATATTAATTTTTGAATGTTAAATATTTTAAGAGTAAAATTGTATTTTTTTCTCTGTAAGCAAAATATATGTAATCTGAATTGATATTTCACATAGCATTTGTCAAGAAATTTTATCGTAGTTAAGGCATTTGGATCTAATTTTCCTCATATTAAGAAAACTTCTGCTGTGTCAGTGGGCCATATCCGTAGCATGCCCAGCCCATTATGGGATATCATTTGTTCCTGTTGTACTGTACAACTTCTCTTCATCTGTGGTTGTAGCAGAGAAAACAAATAGTGTGTGTGCAAATTTGGCACTTGCTTTTCTTGCACAAGCAACAGTGAGAAATAAGCACTATATTGTAAGGATGAGTGCTTAGGGCTTCCTAAGGGGAAGTTGTGCCTACACAGGGTCTGTGCAATTTGTGAGGATCACTTACGCCCTCAGATTGGCATGAGTGGGTTTCCTTTGGTACTTGCGTATTGTGTGACCTCTGCATTTCTCTCCTTCCTTAACGCACAGAGCTAAGTCCTGCCAAAGGCCCTATTCACTGCAGAGTTGTTTGTCCTTAATGTACCATATTGTTCACTCCAGTTTTGATTTGGTCTCAAACAGACTAATATATACAGAAGAAAAGCACGTGGATGTAACTGAAGAAACACGGTGCTTTTCTGTATTTCTTATTGACATGTAGTTTTTCCATCTAATATCATTCAAGGGTGGGATTTGTTTTGTTAGGGTTTTTTGCTTTGGGGGATTTTTTATTTTATTTTAAATCCCTGAGTTAAGCTGCAGTGCAGCAGCACTTTCATAAGGCCTTTGAAAGTATGAGACATAAGACAGAGAGCCAAAAGCCACAAGCAAAATTAAGAGTTTCTGATTTCCTTAAGTTGAAATTTGAATTTGGAGGTTTGGGGATGTGTATCTTGCATATATGTGCACACCTGCTCTGTTTATGTATTAATAGATCCCAGTATAGGTGCATTTTCACCAAACATGATCATTTTGCTTGTTTCAGTAAGTGATATCATTAGCTTTGTTTAAAAACACACACACATGCACACTAGACCTTTGTGGGTGCAGCATGTTTCCAAATACAGTTAGAAAACTGAGTTTCTGTGTTCTTGGATATTTTCTTAAAAAAAAAAAAAAAAAGGCTTGTCTGTATGGTTCAGTTATCTAAGAAATCTCGTCAAGCAATCTGTAAAACCAAGTCTTCAAATTTTCTATTTGGTGTCAACTGTTCTGTAGTGAAGAAATGGCTTTGTCTTGTAATTGGCAATGAAACAATAATGCTTGGGAAAACATTCAGATGCTTCTAATGGGGAAAACTTCTGCCGATTTTCACACAGTGCTTTTGCTATGCATGGTATTAAGTTCGGAAAGTGAATCCTGATATTATTTTTTTTCAGGGTCACTTTAGAAATGGGCAGCTCAAAGCACAATGCCTCCCGTCGGACAAGGTTCCAAAATGCAACATTTTATGTAGAATTATGTTGTATTTACTTCAGTTGAAAGACTAAACTGGACTGTGGGAGTTAATGATGTTACATTGCACTTGTCCTAATGAGATTGCATTAGCTGCCCAAGATGCTGCTATTTTGTTTTTATTCTTGTTTTTAAAAATAAAGCTCTGTTCTGTTAAATGTCTTTAAAACATTAAGATTACTTTGTTTTCAAATGGTCTTTGAGGAGGTGGAGGGTAAAGTGGGTTGTAAATTGCCTTTACAAGGCAACAACAAGAACATGCCTCCTTGAAATTTTGTTCAAGCTGTAGAGTTGATGGAGCTGTGTTTTGTTTTTAAGTTGCTTTAAAAATTGTAATAAGTCTTCAAGCAGAATAAAGATTGTTTTGAAACTGCATTTCAGTTGTTGAGGCTTCAGTAAGGACTGAGGTATCTATTTGCCAGCTGACTATTCTTGTCTGTATGTGGCCTACTTTGAAAATGAGACCCCAATGCTCATATTATTAGGGGGAACTAGAGAGCGAATAACTTCATCTGACACACAGTCATCCGAAGTATTAAACTGGATGAGTAGTTGAGCAGCTCCAAAATAGTCTCATGTCAGACAGTGCCAAAATGACAAATCCACTGATCTCGTACTCTTGCAAGAGCAGTAAAATTTTCATGATCTATGATCTGTCTTTTACACTGCAGATAAAGTTCTGGTTCTTCTGAAATCAGTGTGAGTTTTGTCCCTGATTTCCATGAAGCCAGCCTGTCAGCCTTTGTAGTTAGAAGTCATTAACCAGCTTCTTTGCTGCATCTAATTGTGAAGACCAACATAAGGATGAAGAAGACAGAAGAAGTGAGAGGGGGTTTGGGCAAGACAGATTCTGAGCGTTGTTTTCGTCCCCTTGTTGTTGGTATGTGGTATCTGACTTCTTCAAGCCCGTTTATATCTTGCCCCAGGAGACAGCCTCTGGGGAAGTCAGCTAGCCACACTGGAAGCAGAGATTCCTATTCTCATTCTGTCCAAGGTTTCCATTCCAAAATCTCTCCACATTTTGCTCAAAGGAGTCACGTAATACACCCTGACTGAAGTACTCAGGTAGCACAGGCTTGAAATAATTTTTAGTAATTACAACATTGTCACTGGCCCTTAGAGGTTCTTAGAAGAAATTTAGATTAAAGTCTGTTATCATATTCTCAGTCCAACTAATACAAAGTGGGGCTAGGTTGCTGATGAGTGGACCTGTTGCAGTTTTTCTCAGTTAGTAGAATCATAGAATGGTAGGGGT